CAGCCTGAACTCAGAGTCCTGCGAAGAGCACTCTAATCATAAATCCAGCCGTAGTAAAGATGTTATTTGATTTATAATCCATCTTTGCAGCTCGATGCAGAGTCACACAGGTTACATTTTTCAGAGTTATTTAAAGTTCTCAAGCGTCTAGTTTATGAAAAACCAGTTCTCGGGGAGGAGGAGTTGGGGGAGAAACGGCAAAGTTTGTTTCATTTTCCCAATTCTCTCAGCTGTGATGCAGTAAAAAAAAAAAAGCCAGCTTTGCAGGGATTACCATAGTTCTATGTCACTTTGAGATCTTTCTCCTTGATCAGCCTCCACAAAAATCTGATCTATTACTTGCCGTGAATATAGCAGTTCATTTAATCTCTGTTCATGCAGTCAGATAGTAAATCTTCATACCTCCCCTTTCTCCGGGCAGCTACTCACTATCATCATGGCGACCTTCACAAGTCAGTTGTGTGTAGGAAGGGAAACATCTGAAAGACAGATTGCAGTCTGAATCTCGGCGTTTCCAAGCTCCACTTGCTGCAAGACCACTCTCTTGTGGAAACTTGCCCCCCTTTCCCTGGGGAATCCACTGACCTGAGAATTCCCCTGTTCTCACTGCCCCTTGCTCTGCCCCTTGTTGAAGATGCTCCTTTGATTCTGCGAAAACTCATTTGTGTTTGATTTTGCGAAAACTGATTTGTGAAAACCACCCTTTGTTAGTTGAAAAAGAAGTACATTAGAACCCTCTTATACACATGATCAGTATCCACTGATTCACTTATCCATGGTTTGAAAATATTTTAAAAAGATTAAAAGAAAAAAATCGAGATATTTTTCATGTGTATTAGCAGGACTAGGTACTAGAGTGAGCCAGAGACTATGAAGACTTGTTGATGAATAATTCATGATGGGGGAGGGGCTTGGAACCAATCCCCAATGGATATGTGAGTCCTACTGTATGCTAAAGAAGCAAAATGAAATCAACAAATTCTTCCTGCACAAAAGCTTGTGAAAGCTGAAAGACTGATATATTACGACACCTCTATTACATTTTACACTACTTGTTTTATAAGCATTTGCAGAATAGTGCTAGTGGCAGTACTCCTTATTACAGTGTATGGGAGATTTTTTGAATGCATGTTTTAACAACTTTGTATTGAAAGTACAGTGGACCCTCGATTTACGGAATTAATCCATATTGGAACTGTGGCCGCAGGTTGAAAATTCCATAGGTTGAGGGTCCATTTCCCACAGGAATGCATTGAAAACCATTTAATCTGTTCCAGCCAAAGAAAAAAATCCTGGGCTTCCAAAGCTGCACCCGCTGCCCTCTGCTTTGTGTCCCCACTGTTCTCTGCCTCCCATCCCCACAGAGACAGGAGGCAGAGGGCACCAGGTACAGGAGATATAAGGCCAGTGGGTGCACCTTTCTAAGCCCCGAAAGCTGACAGCGGGTGCAGAGCAGCTTTCGGCTTTCCGGCTTCCAAAGCTGCAAGCTGAAAGCTGCTCTGTGCCCGCTGTCAGCTTTCGGTGCTTAGAAAGCTGCCCCCACTGGCCTCTTGTCTCCTGTCCACAGGAGGCAGAGGGCACTGGGGACAGGAGACAAGAGGGCACTGGGGGCTGCTTTGAATTTCCCGCCCTTTCCCCCACCTTTCGTAGGTCAAAGCTCCGGCTGCAAGTCGAAGTAAAATTTTGCGGCTGGAGCTTTTTGTACCTCAAAATCTCAGTAGGTAGGGACCTTCATAAGTCGAAGGTCCACTGTAGTTGAGAAATTTTATTTTTAGAGTTCTTTGAGGAAGAAATAGAAGCTAGCTAAATAAACATTTTGTTTATTTTATGCTAAGATTTTTCTGCACTTTACAATAAAAAACTCCTGATTCTGTTTAAGATGTATGCTTCCGGATCTAAGAACTCAAGTAAGGGACAGGTGGAAGAGTGATCTGTGGAGTTTTCAGTTAAGCGATTACTTGAGAGTGATACAAGGAAAATAAAGAGAATATGTAGATATCATTCTCTTACATAATATCAAGTATCTTTACTTATCTGACAATCATATGACAAATGTCACACTGTTATCTGACATCCATTAAATTAATAAATGCTACTATTATTGTAGATAGAATGCTACCGAGTGCAAAATGGCTGTTATATTCAGGTAGTCTTTTGTCCTGATATTAAAGAAAATATTCTGAAATGTTATTCTGTGTAAAGTAATAAGATATAGTGCCTTCCTAGCTTATATTTTATGCTGTTGTATTGATCTCTTATTGTTAAATTTTGGGGCTGACTTGGTTGGCTACATATTTTTTGCAGACAGTATAAAAGTAGCTTCTTTTCTCATTTATTATTTTGAATAAATGAATTACTAATTTTGTCATTTCCGGACTGAAATGTTTTCCTATGGTTCTAAGCAATATTTTTATTAGTTTCTAGTGCCAAACTGAAAAGGAAGAAGAACTGGTTTGGTGGAACTGCCATCTATACTGAAGTAGTAGCTGATAGTGAAATTAAGAAAACATCTAAGTCCAACAGTTCCTCCAATCCAAAATGGGATGAACAGTTGACTGTGTAAGTAGTTCCTGTTCTGTAATCCTGACTGTTCTTAATGTTTTATGTTCACTGAGAATTTTAAAAAATCTGGAACATGTTTTAACGTGTACTGTATTGTGCATTTTTCCAGTCTCCTGCTCCATCATGCCTTCCGCTCACAGGCTGATAGCAGGAAATTCAAATGGCCTCCCAGCCCATCTCTGTCTCCGCTGCTCACTTCCCAGCTGGGCCCTGCCTCCCGAAGCCTGGCTGGGAAGCGAGGAGTGGGGATGGACCCCACACTGCAAGGCAGGAGCCGGGAAATTCAAATGGCCTTCTGGCTGGGCTCTGACTCCCCCCACTGGCTCTGTCCCTGCTGCTCGCTTCCCAGCTGGGTTCCAAGAGGCAGAGCCCGGCTGGGAAGTGAGCAGTGGGGACAGAGCCAGTGCTGGGTGATAGAGCCCGGCCGGGAGGCCATTTGAATTTTCCGCCATCCACCTGCAAGTGGGAGGTGAGGGGCCGAAGCACCCCAGTCAGGCTCAAGCCTCCAGAGGTCCCTTCATCCGGACCAGTATCGGACCGGCTGTTACAAGAGCAATCTATTATACGAATTGAGTCTTAAAAAGACACACTGATGATGATCCCTTCCGCCCAGCCTGTTCCCTATTCTGGCTCAGTTCCTGGCTTCGCCAGTCGATGCGGAAGTGACTGTGATACTGAAATCCCCATACTCGAGTCCCTTTTCTACTGGTCGCTCCATATCATTGGGCGAATTGGATTCAGTGTGTCCGGCACCTGACGTTTCCCCTCCACGAAAGAGATTGAGAAAGGAATGTCATACAGCTCATCATGGTGCCAGTCCTGCGAGACCCATTACTCCGACTGGGTCTTTTACATCTCGAGAGCCATCTAGGAGGTATAGGCAGTCCAAGAGGGTCACACTCTACAATCCACCAAAGTATTACAACCCTGCCTATAGACGCTCTCGTTATCGAGCACATCGGTACCATCCATCCGAGCTTGATTATTACCGGAATCATCCTTGTCAATGACATTATTATTACGAATCTGATACCTGATTCATCCTTCTCTCCCTGGTACCAGCACCAGTATCATGACACCTGCCAGTCCCCTGATACCTGATTCATCCTTCAGGTATCAGCACCAGTATCATGACACCTGCCAGTCCCGATCTTCATCAGAGATGGAATCGGTACCACCCTTGCCGGTACCGAAATATAGATCTCATAAAAGAAAACATGCTGATTCATCTAGACCTCTACCTACAGTATCAAAGAGGCCCCATGCCTCGGTACCATCTCAACAATCCCTTCAACAATCGGTACAATCAACTACTACATACGTGGGTCCTCAGCATCTGCCTTCTGGTACCAAACAGTCAAACAAGGAGCAGATAATTTCAGTACCGTCTCAACTTGTTTCATCAAAGCCTTGCCATACTGTTTTGATATCAACTCCATCACAACACTGCCCAGCCTCTCCCACTCTGTCTTCACGTTTGTCCTCCTCACACTCTTCTTACTCCATTCTGAACCAGGAATCCCCGCCCAATTTACCTACACCTGATTCTGACAATAGTCTTAACAATCCACCATCACCATCCAATGATTTTTCTTCATACTCACAATTGGTCTTGCGTATTGCCAAGGCAATGGAACTGGACATACAACAGCCTTCCCAGGCACAGTCAGATAAAGTCTATGAAGATATTAACGACCAAAAATCTCTGACTCTGAGCACTAGTTTTATTCCTTCTTTACTTGATCTTGCCAAACAAATCTTGACAAAGCCTTCGTCTATACTTCAAATATCTCGTAAAGTGGAAAACTTTTACAAACCCATGGAGGTAATACTGCCTTTCTCTTTAAACATCTGCCACCTAATTCACTAATTATTCATGCCACTCAAAACAGAGCTCGTAACAACTCTTCTACAACACTTAACAATAAAGAAGGCAGGAAAGTTGATATTGTAGGACGCAGGGTCTACTCCTTTGCCTCATTTAATCTCTGCGCTGCCAACTATATTGCAGCAATGGGAGCATACCATCGTTATTCATGGAATAAGGCTCTCCCATCTCTCCAGTCTGCCACAGGTGAATACAACGCTCTCAAAAGACGCCATATCTCCCATCACTATTACAGAACACCAATCATTTTTTTTCTTCCGTTACTTTACTGTCCCAAAACGAGATGGAGGACTAAGAACTATTCTAGACCTTCGAGAACTCAATTATTACATAATTCCAAGAAAATTATGAATGGTGACACTAGAATGAATTTTATCTAACCTTCAACATCACAATTGGTTCGTGGTTATAGATCTAAGCGATGTTTACTTTCATATCACGATCCGTCAAGATCATTGCAAATTCCTCCGATTCGCTATAGGAGAACATGCCTACAAATTTAAGGCCCTTCCCTTCGGCCTCTCTACAGGACCAAGAGTATTTACAAACTGCATGACACCCGTAGCAGCCCACCTATGTACCTTGGGAATTTCGAATTTCCCATACATAGACTATTGGCTAATGGTTTCTCCTTCCCGTCTGCAAGCTCTGAAGGATGTCCAGACTGCTCTCTCTCTCCTTGTGGATCTGGGTCTAAAAGTCAACGAAGAAAAATCAATTATCACTCCTACTCAACACATCACATATATAGGCACTCTTCTAGATTCCACCAAAGAAAGAGTGTTCCTGCCCCAGTAAAGTGCCATCAAACTTCATTCTCTCATCAATCAGTTCTGCCCACATTCCTATGTCACTGCACATTCCGTTCAACGTCTGTTAGGTCTCATGGCTTATACAACCTCAACTATTCTCCATGCCAGACTGAAAATACATTCACTTCAGTCCTGGTATCTTACCTTTTTTGATCCAATGGTAGATTCTCAATCAAAACTTCTCAGAGTGACTCCAGAACTCTCCTCCCAACTTCTTTGGTGGGACAACCCATCCAACCTATTTACGGGTTGATTTTTCTCTCCCCTTCAACCAACAATACAAATTACTACAGATGCAAGCAACACAGGATGGGGTGCGCACTGCAACATTCTTCAAATCCATGACATCTGGTCCTGCAGAGAAAGTGCTCTCCACATAAACAATCTAGAACTGTTGGCCATCTTCAATGCGTTCAGAGCATTTGAGCTGCTCATTCGTGGCAACATTGTCCAAGTGACGACAGACAACACAACTGCATTGTTTTATGTGAACAAGCAAGGGGGCATGCACTCCCTTCCACTTCTTTATCTCACAGTACAGTTTTGGGAGTGGTGTCTGGAACACAATGTCTTTCCCATGGCAGTATACATTGCCACACAGGAAAATACCGTGACAGACAGACTCAGTCGTCTACAGACTCAAACACACTAATGGTCATTGGACCAATCAGTATTTCGTCATCTATGCAAGCTATGGGGCCACCCACAGATCGATATTTTAGCAACGCCTCACAATGTCAAATGTGACCTATTGTGCTCCAGAGTGGGCATAGGACGCAGGTCCCAAGGGGACACACTCATGGTGGATTGGGCTATACACCTCATATACAGTACCTCTTTCCTCCCATTCCATTGCTCCTTCGAACAATATCCAAAATCAGACAGGACCATGCCAATGCAATCCTTATCGCTCCATGGTGGCCGATACAGCCATGGTTCATGGTACGGTCCATCAGCAGCGATTATGTTCGCCTCCCTCTAATTCCACACTTGCTGTCACAGCATCAGGGTCAAACCCACCACCCAGAACTACAGACTCTTTGTCTTACAGCGTGGAGAATCCTCCCTCAGTGAATGCGATCCTCACATGCACGTAAACCCTCTACAACTAAGTTATATTTCTACAGATGGTCTGCCTTCACGATAAATTTGCTGTCCAACATAATCTACCAACTAATCCAACTAATTTACAAACTGTTTTACAATTTCTCTAGTACTTATTTGATAAACAACTATCTCTTTCAACTCTCAAGGTCTGTTTGTCAGTAGTTATAGCCCATCAGCTGTAAAATATGGAAGCTGCTATGATTTTTCGCCATCCCATTTTGAAACAATTTCTAAGAGGCGTTTCCAATATGCAACCTTCAGCTCCACCACCGCCTCCACAGTGGTCCCTATCTCTTGTTCTACACTGGCTCTCCCGCCCTCACTTTGAACCACTTGCCAATACTTCAGAATACCTTCTCTCAAAACTCTTCCTGGTAGCCATCACATCAGCCTGCAGAGCTTCTGAACTTGCAGCCTTGAGAATTGATCCCCCATTTCTTCAATTTCATCCCGATAAAGTCACCCTGTTTCCGCATGATTCCTTCTTATCTAAGCTTGTGTCACATTTCCATCTCTCCCAACCTATAATCTTACCTACATTCTTTCCATCACCAACTACTGATTTGGAACAATCGCTACACACACTGGACACTAGAAGAGCCTTAGCCTTCTATATATCAAGGACAGCCTCCTTCCATAAATTGAAAAGACTTTTTGTCTCTCCACACCCACCTCATAGGGGCTCCCATGTTTCTTCGCAAACAATTTCTCGATGGCTTATCTCAACTATAAAACTGGCATACCAGCTTGCTAAGCAGCCTCTGCATGTGGGCGTTAAGGCTCAATCTGCCAGAGCTACAGCTACTTCTGCAGCATTTCTTCGTGGAGTCTCTCTCCCGGACATTTCTAAGGCTGCTACATGGTCCACACCATCTACGTTTGCAACACACTACAGACTGGACCTGAGAGCCAAAACTGATGCATCCTTCGGGAGAGCGGTACTTTCTGTGGTTCTTCCATGATGTCCCTCCACCTTTAAGGTAAGCTGGTTAGTCACCCATTACTGTGCATTCACAGAGACCATGAAGAAGAAAGACGGGTTACTTACCTATAACTCTGTTTCTTCGAGTGGTCATCTGTGAATTCACACTTCCCACCCGTCCTCCCCTCTGTCCATCACTCCTGTATCCATTGATGCAGCAGCAGGCTGTTCTTTAGAACTGAGGTAATTTAGAGGGCAGGCGGACCTTGTGGGCTAAGGGGGCGGTCTTTGACGAAAGTAGCATAAAGGTCTGGAATATTCTGGAGATCTCTGCACAAGCGCAGATTTAACCCATTAGTGTGAATTCACAGATGACCACTCGAAGAAAAAGAGTTACAGGTAAGTAACATCTCTATCTCTATTAACCTCTAATAACATTCAGATTTTATGACTGTCATGTGCTCTATTTGGGACCACTGTAATGACAGGTCAGTCAGTTCACCTGGTGTTGAATGTTTTTTTTCACATTCACTGGGTGCAGGGTGATCAGATCATGTAACAGCAATACTGAACCAGATTGCTGTGGTTACTGGTGCATTGCCAAGACCAATCTGAAGTACCGATTTTAATCTTCAAAATCTTGATATATTTGCAGAACAAGTTACCTGCAGGACTATTCTCTCTCCCCCTCCCCAATTTTTCAGACTGGACGATCAGTAGTAGAGACTCTCAAATGTCCATTTTTTGGGAAAATTATGTTGACAACTACAAAGGAAATGAGTTATGGTCTGGGATCTATAAGGCCATCTTACAGTCTTTTGAAAACCTTGTAAGAAGACCCACCTATTTTGTGTGATCTTTTCTTGGTTGTGTTTTAATGGACTGTTCTTAGCATAAATCTACAGTTGTGTATCAGATTTTAGTACTGGGTAATAGTAAGAGTGCTCACTGTTATTGATTTTATTTATTTGCTTATTTATTTATTTATTTAGCTCTCTTATAATTTACAGGGTTTATTATGTAAGTCACATTAGAAATGTTGATTAAACAAGGTTTACTCATAGATATCTATCCTGACATCTTTACATACCTGGAGTTTGTTTGAATTTAGGCAGCTAGACTAGGGAGTGAGAATTCAGAGCAGTGGATCTGCATTTTTAGTTCCCTACAAAACTGAACAAAATGTGATCTCACACAATTGCATATTAATATGTTATTTTTGATAGATTTTGTCCTTGTGGTATTTCAATGTGTGGATATCATTAGACTGCATATTGTAGAAGAATTAATGTTCACTGTTTTTTGTCTTCCTTACAAATTTCTTATGGGTAACATTTCACCATTTTATATGGCATTGTCTTGTTTACTGCAAAACATAATAAAATGTTTAATAGTTACAATAAATATTAGAAAAAAGTATCCTGGTTTAAGATTGAAGAGTTACCCTGTGAAGTATAGTGCAGCAGTGGCTGTATAACATTGTCCTAAAAATCTGATTTGGAGGCTAGGACTGAGGAACTCTCTGGAACAGATTTTTCTTACTGAAGGGTGCCTTGAAGAGAGAGAGAGAGAGACCAAAAATGCTGATGCTACCATGATTTAGGCTGTTTTATATACTTCATTCTCTTCATCTGTACTTAAGAACATGTAAGTCAGTCACTCAGCAAGTAAGAAAATCAATATTTTATGTATCCTGAAAGTTTAGTTTACTGATCTGATGGAATGTTTGTAAACGTCATAAAGTTGTTTTGTTTTCTGTAACAGATTGAAATCTAAACTCTTTTTTAGTAGATACAGAGACGGTTCTCAGATAGTTTAGGCTTCATTTAATGCTGAATATGATTAAATTTATAGATACTAGGAGGTTCTTTTTTCTTAATTTTGAAAAGAAAACTAAATTTCTTTGTCTACAGGAATGTGACTCCACAGACCACTTTGGAATTTAAAGTTTGGAGCCATCATACTTTAAAAGCCGATGCTTTATTAGGAAAAGCCACTGTGGATCTTAGGCAAGCTTTGGAAATACATAATAGAAGATGTAAGTCACAAATTTATATCTAGTTTCCATTAGTTAATCAAATTTATACTGCAAAAGTGTATGTTGATGGTTTTATTGGTATGTTTAATTTTATTTTATGTGCCACTTATAAAGTGTTCCAGCAGTTCTTTATATTTAAAGACATACAGTGGAACTCATACACTGGTGGATGTAATGATCCTGTCTTCCTAAAGAGACAAAGATCGTGGCCAGGGAGTCCCTCTGGGTGCAAAACTACCACCTTTATTTCTTGGGTTAGGTCCTTTAGGCCTCAGAAGTGCATAGTAAGCCCCATAGACAAGCCTGAACCTTAAAAGTAACCTTTGATTGCTTCCAAAGCAAGGCTTTACAAGGCTGGTGTGTATTCTAAGGAAACTCATAGCCTAATAAAACATAGGCTATGAGTTTCCTTAGAAGTAGGACAGTAGGACCTCTATTTACAGTAGCCACTATTAAACTTCTTTCATCCACACTGGATTTAGTTATAGTCCTGCTGTATTGTTTAATAAAAAAAATTAGGTAGATTCATTAGCATACAGTTGTAGCTTTAAAGCATAAGCATTGAGCATATCCATCTGTTACAATGTTTAAATAAACTTACGGTTTCTAATGAAAATAAAAACAGCTAGGTAATCATCTTTGCTCTATGTCCATACATATTGGAGTCTAGATGCTGGGCTATTTCCCCCCCCCTTCTTGAAAAGAAAAACAAGCCTCTATTCTTTTTTACAGTACACAAACCCTCTCATTTTACATATCTTTAGGACCTCCTTCCTAATTACTCTTTCAAGCTGGCAACCAGTTAAGTCCAAGTAGGTGTAATTCAGAACAATCACGGCCAAAGTTCTCATGATCCAGGCTCCAGGTGTCTTATCTTCTCCAAGTTAGTGGTTTTTGTTGCATCTCTTCTCTCTGGACTGTTCGACTTTGTGACTTAGACAAACAACTCTGCATAACAAGTTCATGAAAAACATCTCTTTTAAAATTCATCTTATGCAGAACCTAATAGACTCAATTTTAGTATGACTACAATTCCCAGTTTCCTCCCATTATTCCAATATGACTTTCTGATAATATAGAAATGTTACAACTGATAAAACATCAGGGATGTTGACAAGTCTTTGAGTCCAAGTCCTAAGTTCGAGTCTTTGGTACCAAGTCCAAGCCTTTGATACCAATTTCCGAGTCCAAAACCCCATCCGAGTACCTATTAAAAATAAGCTTTTTCCCCCAGAAAAAAGGGAGGGGTGGATGGATGCTGAGTTATGACTCAAGTCTGAGACATTGAAAAAAAAATCCTGAGCTGAGTCCAAGTTGAGTGCCCAATGCGAATTAAGTCCAACTTGTCAGCAAGTCCCACATTTCAAGTTTTCTTCTGCATATGTGTGTAATGTACTAGGAAAGTGCCCATTCATATTCATGTAATTCATATAACCCATAACTGATTTGATGTATAAAAATGCTATTTTGTCAGAAAAGTATGTACCGTATTTTTCGCTCCATAAGACGCACCTTTCCATAAGACGCACCGATTTTTTAGGAGAAGAAAACAGGAAAATATAATCTGTTTTCTTCGCTCCATAAGATGCACAGTTTTTCCACCCCCCTGTTTTGTGGGAAAAAAGTGAGTCTTATGGTGCAAAAAATACAGTATTTACTAAGATGGCGGTGGCAGCTTATCTCCTTACGCTGCTTGTGTACAGTCATGTGTGGTTCAATGACTGTTATGTTGTATGTGTGATTAGAATAAACTACTGAAACATTAATGTAATTTGGATAACTGTGTTGGCAATCTTAAATTCAGATCAAATTATCTGAAGACTTTTAAAAATCTTATATTAATACATGTCTCTTTTTAAAAATAAATGTGCATCTATTTTATCTAGTGTCTGGATCTTCACAGATTGCCTTTTGTTTGTGCTTGTAGTAGAACGAGTCAAAGAACAGTTGAAACTCTTACTGGAAAACAAGAGTGGTTTGGTGCAAACAGGAGAACTGATAATAGTGCTCGATGGTTTGGTGCTTGAACCAGAATCTCACACAAACCACACTTCACTAGTAACCAGTAAGTTAAATTATGGAAAATTCATATATATATATATTTTTTTTTTCTTTTTTATCCCAAAATCTAATTTTATTTCTTACTGTTTAGTAGAAGTCCAGCAAAATGGTGATGCTTTACATGAAAACAGAGAAACATCTGCAAGAACCACTTCCAGGTCAGATTTTTCACCACGCTAAAATGTAATTTAACATAATTTAGAGTGTATTGACAGAAATCTTACTGTGTTTGTGTAAGATGCATAGAACTTGTCATGGTTAATTGTAGCTATTTGGCAAGTTGCTAGAACACTCCCTGATTGCACAATTGAAAACATGAGCATGCGACTGAAAGTCACCCCAGCACCTTGTCAGTTAGCTATGACAAGTTAATCAAACCTAATTGAACACTGGTAATATTCTGGTCATCAAGTTGAATTTCAACATTTTGCTAGAAAGTTTCAAATTAAGAGATGTAGACCCTGTTCACATGTGTTACTGAAAAAAATACCTGTATTTTAATGGTTCATGTATTTTATACGTACAGGTATTTTAATTTAACTGGAGAGGTATATCTACTTGGTGGTACTCAAGTGCTGATATAATAAAAATGCCCTTTTAAACATTTGAATCATCTGCAATAATTTGCAACAATAGTTTAACTTTCATGCACCAAACCAGATCGTTTTTGTCCTCCAAGTGACATGTTTTGTTGCAGAGGCCATACAGAACTAGCGTGGGCTTTCTGCTGCATTGTCACGTATAGCACATTTTATCTCAGACACAGGCCCAATACCCTGACTCTAATTCTCAATACATTGGAATTCTTATTGGGGTAAAAAAAAACAAACACCAACATTCACATAATGTAGATTTTTTTTGAAGTTCTGGAGCATGTTAACAGAGATGTGTGATTGCATTTCCCAGATAAATCCTTCTGGGGAGGTTGGCAGTGGGGGATATATTAAAACATTTACAGCTATCTGTCTAAAGAGGGCAATTCAGATACAGTATACTGTAGTTGTGCAAATGGTAGCTGGGGGCATCCCGATTCTTGCTTTAATGATTGTTGGTAGAATTTCATCTATGTTCATGGTGCTTTACACAGAACAGGGTTGACGGGACCTTGTCTTATGGAGCTTATAAATATGAATAAAAATGGGAGAGTAAAAACAGATGCATTGAATGGAGATAAGAGTAAATTGGGAAGAATTACACATATTTCGCCTTGTTCACTGTAGATCATTGTTATTAGGGATTACAAAAATACGCGTAACAAATCTTTAAAAGTTCACTTTTTACAAGATATGTGTGTGATGTTTCCAACAGTACAGACAATCAGACACCATCAAGCTCTGTAGTACAAGTCTCATTCCCTATACATGCAGTTAATGGAGACAGTGGAGACAGCACACCATCTCCTCCTCCTATTGTGGCCAGACCCAAAAATACACCAGCACCAAAACCACTTACAAGTGAGCCCGACAGCAACCTTGGTAAGAAAATATAATCCATTCTTTTAAAAAGAACAGAAATTATCAGAATAACTTCAATGGATTTTGACTTTGATTAATTAGTGAGATTCAAATAAATGCAAAATGGGAAATATTTCTCTCTGTATGAAAGAGTGATTACATTTTTTCCTCCTGCTGTACTGAATACCACTTTCAAAAGCTGTTTACCTTTTCCAACAGCTTTTTGGCAAGAAGGTAACACAAGAACTGCACTTGGAATTTGGCTGGAAAAAAACATCTATTCACAAAGTGACTTGTAGATTCTGAACTTTGGGTGTGCTTAATGTTACATTGTAAAACATGATTTGTTTCTTTACATGCTTTCTTTATTCAGTACTGTATAAGCAATCCATTTTAAAGAGAGAATGGAACTTCTACAATTTATATATAAATCACCAGGAGTGACAAAGTTAAACCACAATAGTCCAGATGAATCTGATTTCTTATGGAACAGGAGAATCTAGGAAAATGTACAAATCATCTTGATAATTTTAGGACAGGTAAACTAAATTAATATGTGGACTCTTCCTCTTTGTTAGAAACCTTGAAACCTTCAAAAGCAGTATGGTACTAAATGGGAAAATATCTTCTATCTTTTGTTTTAATTTCTCTTGTAAAATATATTGCCCTGGAAATACTAGAACTTAGAATAATGTAATGATGAAATATATAATTTTAAGAACATGTAATTATATATTATTGTATGTATCTGGAATGTGTAAATAAAATTAAAATTTATATATGCACAGTATAACATTAATATACCAAAGCCCAGCAGAATTTCTGAAAAAGTGACAGAAAAAGTTATGATACAACATGGTTGACTAGTTTATTAGATTAAAAACACAGATATTCTGAATAACTGTTTTAAAATAGCAAGCAAAACAAACAGGAAAAAGAAGCTAATAAGAGGAAGTTCTAGGTCTATTTCTCCCTTAGAATGTAAATAATCTGAATACATAATTTTTCATTACTATCTAAATACTCTTACTTTTATGCTAGACACTAAGCTTATCTTTTGACAGCATAGTGGCTATGAGAATGAGATTGTGCCACAGCTAACTTTGTTACTTAATTCTCTGTCAAAATGAATGAGGATAAATTTAGAATAGCATATATTTATTCAGAAAGATAAAAATTAAACATTATGGGTAAAAGATGAAAAAACCACAAACAGTATGTTTTTCCTTTTGTATTATAGAAATCTGTTGACATGTTAACTACAGTATAGTCAAGATTAAAATGTACCATTGCCAGTGAGTCACTTCAAAGACACACTGAATGGCACTCATGTATAACCAATACTGTTAGTTGTAATCTTTTGCACATTGGGATTAAGCATGACTAAATTATGCAGCTGAAGGCTTGTTGCTCAGCATACTAAATCACACTAGAATCAGTGGTGAATCAGCTACTTTGTAAGTTCCATTGATGCAAATGAATCTACTCTAGTTGTGACATACTTTAGCATAAATAATGTTGGCAAAACATTTGTAAGATCATTCCACATGGGTAAATAACAGAGCATATGCACAACAGCAGCAACAGCTCCTACTCCTAATCATACTAGTTGCAGAAGAAAAAGAAATCTAATGGCATTTTTTCCCATCATGGTCTCTGTGTGTCATGTGTATGGGTCTGTTCCTGCAGTTGCCCTATAGCACATGTGTGAGAGGGCTGTCCCTCAGTTCTGGTGTGTTTGACACAGTGAGAGCACATAATAGAAAATGTCTTGAGAGTTTTACCCTTTTTCCTAACACTTTTGTCAGCCTTTCTTTCATATTCACCTTCATTTTACATTACTGTATTTGTTTATTTACCCTTTTTTCTTGTCATATCTATTTCTTCTTATTCACACACACCCTGTTGTTTATGCCCTTAGTCTCCATACCTTTTCCTAGCTCACTTTGGCCACAACAAGATCTCTTCGGTATAGTCCCAATGGCTTGCCAAATGGATTGTTCATATTATCCTGTTGACATATCAATTGGCAAAAGAACTGTTGCCATTCTACTAGAGCAACATCCACTACCACTGCATTCCTTAAAGGAATTTCTTTACCAGAATGACGTTAAGATGCTATGTGGTCACAACCATTAACTTTTCCTTTGACGTTACAATTATTCCAGTTCTCTCTGCCATTCTCTAATGGTTACAGCTGCCTTCTTACGTACCAAAATTTATCCATGTAAATTGCTAGTCTGTACCCATAAGTGTGGTGCACAGATACCACATCAAAGAAAAACAGATCACTTACCTATACTGTTTGTTCTTCAAGTAGCTATCTATGTAATCACACAACCTGGCTTTCCCTCCTCCAACACCTGTGGTTGATCACTGCTGAACAATTGTGTCATCCATACAGTGGTGCCTCGTAAGACAATTTTAATTCGTTCCACGAAAATCGTCATCTTGTGAAAAAATCGTCTTTTGAGGTTCCCTATGCATCGGTCTCAAAAAAAAAAGTCTTGCAAAGCATTGGTCTTTAAAAAAAGTCTTGCAAAGCATGGTCATAGAAAAAAAAGTCTTGCGAGGCACCATAGTGATCGCAAAAACCAATCGTCTTACGGGTTTTTTTGTCCCGCAATGCAATCGTCTAGCGAGGCACCACTGTATTTTGAAATGTGGAACAGTTCTCCCATGCATGTGCTATAGGAAGAGGGCAGTGCTACTACCAGCACTCACTCTCTCTAGAAAGTTGCAAACTTTGTCTTTGTGTAGATGTAGATCCATACAAGAAGATGCACAGGTGACTACTTTGCAAGTAAGCAGCCTGCTTATTTGATTATTGTGGGCTCTAGATAATGTGTAAATCTACTATGGTCACCACTGATGGGAGTGTTAAAGCATAGAATTGATATAGAAGAGAGATGCACCGAGTGAGATTGGAAAGAGCTATATTTTCTTAGACGTACCTCTACATTTGACTACTTACTGTGTCTAGTACAGTATCAGTACAAAGTATTTATTTTTTCCCTTTAGTTAATTACGAGTCATCTATGATGGAAGCTGATAATCATTCAACCTCTGAAACTCCTATGGATTCTGCAGACGCACCCTCTCTCTCTGCAGACTGCATTACTACTACAACTATGACAGTGACGACAACAACGACTACTACTACTATTACTGGTAGTACTTTAGAATCTCGTTTAGGAACAGATGCCACTGCTAGTAGCTTTGAAAGTAGTGCATCTACAGCTGGACTTGAAACTGTTGCTCCTACAGATTCTGCATCTTCTAATACACGAAACAATGCAACAACAGAAGCAAAACCAAGGGAATCTTCAAATGTATCTGGGGAAGCTGTAAGACAGCAGCCCAGTAATAACAGCATAGAACCTTTACCCCCTGGGTATGTGAGTGTTGATTTCATTAAAACTTTGATAACATCCAAATAAGACATGTAAAAATAAAGATTTTATTTTTTATCCATGGGGTGCAAATTTGGTGCTTGTAAACACCTCTTGTGTTGCTTGAGGATGCCTCCTGTGGTGCCCACCAGGTTCCTCATGCTTCCAGATTTTTACAGTTAAAAAATCATTTATTTTCAAAACTAGCTAAATGACTTGCCGCTAGTGCCATCTTTATATCCAGGAATCTAGAAGTAAGCTGCAGGGGCATTCTTAGAAGAAAAGGTAGTTAGTCCAGTGCTTTCTTTAGTGCATACTCAGTTTCCCAGAAAAGAGAGAGAGAGAAAGAAGAGAAAAAGAAAGAAAAAGGGAAGGGTAAGTGGGGAGCCAGACAATTAAAGAGTGTCTTGAAAGGTTGCACAGGGATGTGGTGGCGCTGCAGGCTAAACCACAGAAGCCTGTGCTGCAGGGTCAGAAGACCAAGCAGTCGAATCCATGCGATGGAGGGAGCTCCCGTCACTTGTCCCAGCTCCCGCCAACCTAGCGGTTTGAAAGCATGCAAATGCAAGTAGATCAATAGGGACCACCTCGGTGGGAAGGTAACAGCGTTCCGTGTCTAAGTCGCACTGGCCATGTGACCACGGGAGATTGTCTTCGGACAAACGCTGGCTCTATGGCTTGGAAACAGGGATGAGCACCGCCCCCTAGAGTCGAACACAACTGGACAAATATTGTCAAGGGGAACCTTTACCTTGAAAGGTTGCAGAAGATGAGGAACAATTTGTTTGGGGGATGAAGTATTAGTGGTTTTGTATGTTTTGGTGTGGTTTTTGTGTTTTTTCTAGGCTAGGAATCTGGTTGATTGGGTTTTGTCTGTGATTGTCTAATGCACTGTGTCATGTGCATTAGGTTTGTGCATGTTTGTGTTCCATGTTTTTGCCTGTTTTTGGGGGGTCTCTGGAGTGTCATTGTGCATTTCACATTTTGTATTTCTCTAAGCATCATCAGTTTGCATTTTGTGAAATGAGTATTTTGTTATCTTTTGTGAGGCAAATAGGTGATATGATTGCAACTAAATCACTCTATGGCTTGGAAACGGGGATGAGCACCGCCCCCTAGAGTCGAACACGACTGGACAAAAATTGTCAAGGGGAACCTTTACCTTTACCTTTTAAATCACTGCCCTATACTTTTTCTTGGTTAAATTACTTGTTTCTGAGCCTTATCAGTTTGTATTCTGTAAAGAGTTTTGGAACTGAAAGCTGTAGGACTGAATGTGTAGTTTTTGCTTTTGGAATGTTGTTCCTACTAAGTTCTTGTTTTAGCATCACCAGTTTGCCTTCTAGATAACAAGTGTTTTACTCACCTTGCTAGGCATTTTGTGAATGAGCAAGTACTACCCCGTGGTGGCCATTTTACAATTACCATGACATTCCCAGTATTTTAAATATGTGCAGCCCCCCCACCCAAAAAAGTTAGGGAATCAAACTGCATAATTTCATTTAATTGAAACATACTACTCATTGGGTTGGATCAGCACTCAAAACATCTCATTGATTTCAATAGGAATTAAGTTAAATTCATGGCTTATTTTTTCTTTTTTTTAATTCATTGAAGTTAGTTCAGTTAACTTAGGGCTCTTTTAGACCACTTTATTAAGATCCTCTTTGTTCCACTTTGTTATTGAATATATTGGAATTTGCTTGGATTTACTAGGGTTTGTATCTACAAACTGATTGAAGCAAAGGTGCTAAGAAAGAATTGCTGCTGGCTTCTCTCTTCTGTGCAATCAGGATCTAGTGGAAAGGTGTGACAGCAGAGATGTCTCTGGGTCTTCAGTCACGAATCATGAGCAACCCAAAACATTTGGAGGGGGGAAAGGGCTAAGTGGGGGAAAAGGAAGAGAGATAGTATGAAATGCCATGCATTGAAGCCAGGATTTGCTTGAGAAGGGAAGTGATTCTACTATAGAGCCTGCTGCTTTTGCTATAGGTGGATTGTTGCTTTAGGTTCAGACCTTGATGCTTCTGCTTCCTTTCTGCTGTTGCTGTTTTCTATATCTAAAACTTTCTCCCATTTGTGTCTGAGATCTCCTGAACACATTCTGTTTTTGGAGGCAGCAATTTATGTCAGCATTGTCCTATAATACTCAATTGGTCACTTCCCCTTCATGATGTGCCTCATTTTCAAGGCACTACTATAGAGCCTGCTGCTTTTGCTATAGGTGGATTGCTGCTTTAGTTTCAGACCTTGATGCTTCTGCTTCCTGTTTCTGCTGTTGGTGTTTTCTATATCTAAAACTTTCTCCCACCTGTGTCTGAGATCTCCTGAACACATTTTGTTTTTGGAGGCGGCAATTTATGTCAGCATTGTCCTATAATACTCAATTGGTCACTTCCCCTTCATGATGTGCCTCATTTTCAAGGCACTCTTTCACTTTTAGGTTCAGTGGCCCTCCATATCTTCCCCAGTAATTTCCTTCATTTCCTCCAATCTCCCCCACTGTAGAGGATATAGTAAGTACTGTAGCACTGCACCATTCCTTTTAGAGGCAGGCATGTGGCAATAGGATCCTCAAAAAAAGGAGGGGGGGGAGCAAGCCTCGGTTTGTAGAGGGAAGTGCCAGAAGAACCAAACTGCCCTTGGAATAATGATAAACCAACAAGCAAGCAAGCAAAAGGTTTGGAGAGGGAGTGAGAAATGTTTAGAAACCTAGGAAAAAGAAGCAAAACAAAGTGGGATAAGGGGAATATTGTCTGGATGTTGAAGGAATTTGTGTTACGATTTGTAATCGCTGAAGAATAGGATCCAAATGCTCCATCTAGAATATCCCTAACTGTCAGTTCAACCCCTTATGTATGAAACATCAAGTTGGTATTCTGGTTTGACCAAAACCTGGGCAGTGCTGTGCCAATGATTGCAGACTCTCCTCAGTGTAGGGACAACTATGTCAAAGGACTGTAGGCATCAGTGGAGGAGGAAAGTAAAGAGAGGGTTAAACTTGCTCTTCTCCCTGACTTGCTTCTCTCTTCTCTAGAAGCCTTTCCTGCGACCAACCTTCAATTTTTCATGAATTGCATTCTATAATTTTTTTGGTTCAATTTTCTAAGTGAGCCATCAGAGACTGTATAACATTCCCTTTAGTTTCTTAATTTGTCTTTCCTAATTTGTTTGTTTGATAGAGTTATCCCCTTAAGAAGACCCAATTGACACCTGTGTTTCTACTTAATTAAAATTGCTTGGTGTAGATAAAGTTTTAGCGTGTAATAACTTATGAAATAAAAATTTACAAAAACTTAGTGTTTCTTCTTTCACAAATTTCTATTTTGTTATGTTTAGCATAAGAATGGCAAACAGAATTAGTGAACCTCTTACAATTTATTAATCTGTATGTGACAGCAGAAGACAACAGTCTGTTTTCCGTTAATGGTGTTTGCCTTGATTTTTGTTTTAAAGATGGGAACAAAGAAAAGATCCTCATGGTAGAACCTATTATGTTGATCACAACACAAGAACAACAACTTGGGAGAGGCCTCAGCCTTTACCACCAGGGTAATAATTTCTGTATAAATATGTCATTTAAGAATGCAAATGCGCAGACATGACATTGGTTTTGGTGCGGAGGTTTTTGAACTTTTCTGTAAAATTCCTTTAGAAAATTAATATTGCTTTAAAGGTAGAAAATTAATATTGCTTTAACTTCTTAAGTAGAATTTTAAAAAATATTTCATTAACAACTTTCTAAATTTAAAATTATAGTTTTGTTTTAATATATCATGGGTTTGACGCTTAATAAAGCTAACTTCAGAAAGTTCACATCAATTTTACTTACCCTTCTTCCTCTGCAGAAGAGTCAGAGGATTCTTCAGAAAAGAATTACCCCAAAGAGGTCTGAAACAACAACTTTGAATGATTGTTCCATACTTCTTAACTCTATCCCATATTGTTCAGGAGATACCACAATTTTTCATAGAATAATTGAGTTGGAAGAAGCCTGTAAGGCCATTGAGTTCATTGCCCTGCTAAGTGCAGGAATCTAAATCGAATTATATCGGAAAAGATCGCTATCCAGTTTCTTCTTGAATGCTTCCACTTTGGAGTGCTGACCACAGGGGCTTCTGTTGGGGGCAAGTCATAGGGAATTTCTGTTGCCTTAAGTTAACATATTTGGGGATCCAAAGTGAGAGCAAGTGATAATATTATAATACTATCTCCCACAACGGTATCTGTGTGCCAACTACTGTGATTTAGCACTCACTGGCATTGGTATTAGAGCGCATAGCAAAACTAGAGTTGGATAATAATTTTGAAATTACAGGACATGTCTTTAGAAGACACAGTTTTTGCCTTCATGCATGATTTGTTGTGTGTTACAGTAAATTGCTGTAGTATATTGCACACTGTGAGAATATTGTCCCTCGCTCCCACTTAACAGCCCTTCTAGTTCAATGATTGCAGTGGTTCTTTCCTTGGAGAAGAAATGCATTAGAGGTATTAATGCGTGGCCACCAGTGTGCGTTGAGTTTCAGCCCTGATGAGCGTATAATCTAAAAATTGTTGCTCTGCACGGTACTGGGAAGCTATACATTCATGTAAGTTAGGCTTAGTTATATTGGGTCTGTGGCCTTAGTTTTCAAAGGCTGATTGGTTCTAAGCAATTAAATTACCTTTGCTTCAGTGCTTTTATTTTACTTCAGTGCTTTTTGGCCTATTTTTTCATGTTAGTGGACATTTTTATCAGTCCACTTCAGTATATGCTTATAGCATTCTATGCGTAAGACTTCTTTTAAACAAATTCTTCCTGTATTGAGATAAGGAAATTGCTTGGTATTTATCTTCAGTGTAACTGCCACTGACTCCAGAAGTTGCAAACATTCAAAACCAGCTGTACTAATATGTTGTTACTGCAGGGAGATAGTTGAAGTCACTTTAACATTTTGCAGAATTGACATTGAAACAAATATTTAGAGTCCAGTGTTTTTTTTCTTTTAAAAAGCTCATTTGATATTTTTATTGTGAAATTAGGTCTGTAAGGCTAAAAAGAAACAAAATACTGTATCAGAGTATCCTAAAGGTGTTACTTAGAATCAAGCCCAGTTGTTTTGAATGTAGTCTACCTCTAGATAAATGTGTGTAGGATAGTTCCATATATTTACTCTTTTGTTAAGGCAAGAAAGAAAATAGTTGCCAAGTTCATGTTTGTTTCCTAGATGGGAAAGAAGGGTTGATGATCGTGGAAGAGTTTATTATGTGGACCATAACACGCGAACAACAACATGGCAGCGACCAACAATGGAGTCAGTCAGGAACTTTGAACAGTGGCAATCTCAGCGAAACCAGTTACAGGGAGCTATGCAACAGTTCAACCAACGATACTTGTATTCGGTAAATATACAGGTTACAATGTGAATTCTTTCTTTTCCTTTTGTTGAATATTTAATGCATCTTTTAATATACCGCTTGATTGTGATTGAATTCGGATTTCAGGTAAAATCATTGTTTGTTCAGCTAACAAAATATGGCTCGAATGATGTTTGAACATTTGACTATACTTGATGAACTATATGATTTTGGCTTAATACCCTGGCTTGTTAAGCCGTATTAAATCAGAACTGCATAGTTTTCATGTAGCAAGCAATTCTGGTTCAGTCAAATCCAAATCTTGGCTTTACAAGTATAGGAGGAAAAGGAGGAGTTAAGTAGTAGAAGCTACTTAACTCCTCCTGATTGACGACGGTTTGCCTAAAAGTTCATTAGTGGTTTTTACAGAGGTCTCCCCACAACGTTCAGTTTCTATGTGGAATAGGAGTTTGATGAATGAGCTGAAACTACAGTTTAAACCTAATTTGCAAATCATCTTGTGGTACCTGTTGAATATCATTGTTCAATTAAGAAAGTCTGACTCAAATCCCGTAAATTATTGATTCATCACAAAATCAGTATGAAATAGATGAATATCTAGTAGTATTAAAATAGCAAGTTCATTAAGTGTGTAGGTAGATATACATAGCAAAACAAATTTGCTTATCTAATCTCTGTAGAAGCTGGTACATGTTATGAACAAGTCTGATTTTTTTTTGTGGTTTGGCTTATAGTGGCTATATGAAGATAGCTCTACTGCTGATAACATATGAAACACCCAAACTCTTTAATCTAGCTAGAAAATCTGAGAAAATTGTCCTAATAGTAATATACCTATTTGTGAAGCATGCCTCGCCCATTTGCAGTAAGCTCTGCATATATGAAAAAAGGAGAGGGTCATTGGTCATGCATACCATGGTGTCTGTTACCATGGTATCTGTTAGCCACAAGACAGCACACAAACTAGACTGGTTACTCACCAAAGTTGAGTATACATGGCTATTTGCTGCATTCACCCAATTTAGTCTAGTTGCATTTCTTCTCACTTTAAGACCCCCTTGTTCCTCAGTCTGTGTTCTATGCAAGGGACTGGCAGTTCCACTCACTCATCTCCTGCTTAGCCAAGCTGTGTCATGGCAATAGAAACAGGACAAGATGGTGGTTAGAAACCAGGAATGATTTCTAGGATGCCTAAGAAACATATAAATTTAGAATTCCCATAGTGAAGAGTAACTAATTAAATATAGAAATGGCATTTTCTGGAATTTTCATTATGCTTGATTACCATTGTTGTTGTTTTAAAAATTCAGTATATTTATTTCTCCCATTGTCTTCATTAGGCTTCAATGCTGACAGCTGAAAATGATCCACTTGGTCCTTTACCGCCAGGCTGGGGTAAGAAATATGACTAGTATGTGAAACAGATGCCCATGTATAATTATCTTTTATTTACACTTTTCATTTTTATTGCAGAAAGGAGGGTTGATTCAAACGATAGAGTTTACTTTGTAAATCACAACACAAAGACAACACAGTGGGAAGATCCACGGACTCAAGGGTGGGTTTATATGTGCTTTATGTTCATTAAATATGTCTATACTCTCTATAAAAAGTGGGATTTGAAGCATATGTTACATTTTTACTTTTCAGTTTACAAAATGAAGATCCCCTTCCTGAGGGCTGGGAAATCAGATACACTAGAGAAGGTGTAAGATACTTTGTTGATCACAATACACGAACAACTACTTTCAATGATCCTCGTACTGGTAAATCATCTGTGTAAGTGAGATGTTTATTAGTAAAATGTCTGTGTGTATAGCATATTAAAGCTATGTAGTATAGGCCAGAATCCTATTGGTGATTGGCTAAGGCCACTGTAACATGCTGTAGCTAATTAACAGTGTGCTGGGTCATATCTCAGTCGTGCCTGGTCAATATGCAGGATTGTATAATTGAGAAGCACATTGCCAGTTGAGCATGGTTTGAGAATGGAAGGGACTTGCTTCTAGGATGGTGTGTTCCCCAACAATTGACTTGTTTAATCAGAGGCTGGATGAACACTTGCCAGGAACACTTTAGGTAGAGATTTCCTATTTTGTCAGGGGACTGGGCTGAGTGACGCCTGCATTTTCCTCTAGCCCTAGTTTTCTATGATTCTGTGAAATATCAACAATTGGCACAGCGTGTTATGTAAACATTATGTAAACATCTATGGGATTCCAGCCATAGTTGGAATAATACCGAGTTTAACTGGTGACAGCTGGACATCTGATAAGGTTGGTTGGTATCTAATTAATTGAAGGTGTGCATAGTTAAATATTACAAGTTATGGCTTCTTATGCATTAATAATAATACAGTGTCATCAAGTTGGTTCTGACTTATGCTGAGCCTCCCAGGGATTTCTTCCAATAAAGTACTGATGAAGAAGTGATTTACCAGTCCCTCCTTTTGTTAATTCTTTGGGACAATTTGTTTGTTTAAGTGACTTATACTGTATATCACTCCATTAGTGCAATGCCCTATTCTGGGTGGTTAATAGTCGATAAAATAAAACAGACAATAGGAAAAGACCAATGAAAATGATAAAGGTAAAAACCATGCACCTTGACCAAGGATACCTCATTGGCAGGGACTGGAATCACATTAGGCCCGCACACACTGGTTCTTCTTGGCTGCACCATCTCCTGGGAAGCACAGTGTGTACATGAACTCCATGCCCTGGCACTCCAGCATCCTGTATACTATACCAGCAGTATATCTATTTAAGAATCAGGAGATCAAAATTTAAAACTGACTAGTGTACTGTATTCATGACTTTGGAAGAATGGATTACAACCTGTAATAAAATCTTAATTCCTTATTAAGCGATTTTTGGCTTAATAAATGTTGATACATTTCTTTACAGAAATAAAGGACCACAAATTGCTTATGAACGCAGCTTCAGGTGGAAACTAGCTCATTTCCGTTACTTATGTCAGGTACTGTAATTCTAGTCAAATAATTGGATATTTTAGTTTGCATTTTTATTTATTAGCATTTACATTCATATTTGATTATTTATTATCTGTTTTTAGTCAAATGCTTTGCCAAGCCACGTGAAAATCAATGTATCCAGACAAACACTGTTTGAAGATTCCTTTCAGCAGGTAAAATATGTTTGGACTGCAAAACATTTTTCTAAACCAAATTTTAGTATAAACCATTATGTTTCAACTTACCTAGTTAGATACTTTGGAAAACATCTTAGTTTAAAACTTAAGCCTATTTGGAAGCTTTTATTTTCTGATAACAGCAAGGATGTAGCCCAACAAATCTTCATTTATTATAGCCTAGTACAAAATAACTTATGCAGTTGGTCTGCATAGGGCTGAAAAATGTTTATGAGCTTCTGATGAACTCTCACAAGAATGGATCTCCTTTTGTAGATTGTCTGGTATGAATGCGGGGTGTGTGTGTATGCATTGTGTGGAGACAGATGGAAGGCAGCTTGCTTCCACATATTTTTTGTAGTTGGATAAGACTTCCTATGGTGTGTTACTTACTGTGCCTTCTGTTGGGTAAAGATGTGGCTGTTGGTAGCTGCTCTGTTTCCTAGAGGTAGAGAGAAACTGCCCTTACAGTGAAGTGTATGAAGTAGAGGAACATTGCCAAGTTACACTGGCAATGCAGATGCATGGAACCCATTCCCAGTGAATGCACTGCTGCCTTGTTTGTCCTGAGGGGTAATATTTTGACTCTTATTATAAGTGGTTGAACTGTAGACAGAAAAGCAAAATGACACCATAAAAACAAAAGAGGGGCTGTGAAAAGTTGCAAAGAGGAAACAACAAAACGTTGATTGGAGATTACCGTAATTGGTGAGACTTTGGTGGGGTTCTATTTAAAATGCAACAAAGTATCTCAGCATTGGGAGGAACACTTAGTGACGGAAATACTTTTCCATACCTATGTAAACCTAACTTTTGCAGGCAATTTTTCTTAAGTTAAGAAATCTCCATAGATAGTTTCTGTTGCGTGCTGAGTTGTCTGAGTCAGCAGTAGAAGGCATCCTTCAGTCTCTAGAGACTGTGGTTATGTGCTGTGTATGGAGGTCTTGGAACAGCATCTAGTGTGGCTGAGAAGGCCAATTCAAGAGTGACAATCCCTTCCACACTGAAGACAAATACAATCTGTCCCATCCAGCTCCCTGGTTTTGCTGGTTCGGGACTGCTTCTTTGTCTCACCCTGCTGCACAAGTGTCTCTTCAAATTGGGAGAGGCCATGATGCACTGCCTGCCTCCAGACTGAATGCTCAGACGTCACGGTTTCCCATCTGTTGAGGTCCATTCCTAAGGCCTTCAGATCCCGCTTACATATCTCCTTGTATCCCAGCTGTTGTCTCCCTTTGGGACGATTTCCCTGCACTAATTCTCCATATAGGAGATATTTTGGAATCCGACAATCAGCCATTCTCACGACATGCCCGAGCCAACATAGAAGTCGCTGTTTCAGCAATGTATACATGGTAAAAATCCCAGCTCATTCTAAGACTAATATGTAAGAAGGTTTCTTAACCTGAGGCAATTTGCTTGCAAGAGTTACACCATCAAGTAGGAGAGAAGATTTTCACCACCATATTAGAACACTGTGTTCATTGTTTTGCTTTGCTTCAATCATTGCTATCTTGTTTTTGCATTGATATTTTGCATACAGATCATGGCTTTAAAACCATATGACTTAAGAAGACGATTGTATGTCATATTCAGAGGAGAGGAAGGATTAGATTATGGTGGCTTGGCCAGGTAAATAATTACATCTTCCTCTGAGAACTGTGGCTAAATATATATATGTTTGTTCATAGACCAGTGATTGATACCTGTCTCTCTCTATCTATCTATCTATCTATCTATCTATCTATCTATCTATCTATCTATCTATCTATCTATCTATCTATATGTTTGTTCATAGACCAGTGATTGATACCTGAACGTTGTCTATGACACTTATTAGGAAATTACTCCAAACACTGAGATGCTCAGCTGTAAATGTGGAATTATTTTCAGAAAAAAAATATACTGAAGATGAATGTTATCAATACATAATAATTAGTAATTTGTATTATATTAAGAGAACAGATTTCCTAACAAATTCATCTTCATCTTTCTTTGGATATTGCATTTGTGCGTGTTTTGGCTGTCATATTAGACAGCTATTAGTGTACATGGAAGGGAAAAGAATTCAGTCAATAGAAAACTTCTGCTGTAGCCCTACATTCAACACTAGGCAACCACTTTTCGTTTTGAAACTATCTTATCTATTCATTTCATCGGCTGATGAATAGCTAGATTTTTGAAAACTTCAGTTTTCTTCCTTTCCTGCATATATATACTAGGACTGAACCCTTTATGTTATGCCCTTCTTATCTGTACTTTGGAATAAATATGTTAGATTTTTGTTAATCTTTTGTAATCTTCTGTAGAGAATGGTTCTTCTTGCTTTCCCACGAAGTGCTAAACCCTATGTACTGCTTATTTGAATATGCTGGAAAGAGCAACTACTGCCTACAGATAAATCCAGCATCAACAATAAATCCAGATCACCTTTCATATTTCTGTTTCATTGGACGGTTTATTGCTATGGTAAGTTCAACAATTTGTTTATTTTATACTTTTCTGAAATTTTCTGAAGTGCCCATGTCAGCTCTACTGAGTCTTCAATTACAAGAGTTAAATTAATAATTCCGCCTAATTCTTATAGCATATGTAAAAAAGGAGTTAGTGTGCATTCGTTCATTGGTCTAGAGAAGTTGAACTCTGCTTAGTACACTTTTCTGGGACATAGTGGCCCTGCGGGCTAAACCGCAGAAACCTCTGTGCTGCAGGGTCAGAAAACCAGCAGTCATAAGATCAAATCCACGTGATGCATGCAAATGCGAGTAGATAAATAGGTATCACCTTAGTGGGAAGGTAAAACGGCGTTCCCTAGTCACACTGGCCATGTGACAACGTAAACTGTCTTTGCACAAGCACTGGCTCTACGGTTTGAAAACCGGCTGAGCACCGCCGCCTAGGATCAGACACGACTAGACTAAGAATGTCAAGGGGAACCTTTACCTTTACCTAGTACACTTTTGCATCACAAGTATTTTAGAAAAGTGACAGAGTCATATAACTTGTTCTTGCTGTGCATCATCATTATTTACTATTGTTTAAAAACCAAATTTACGAACATCAGGAGCAGTGAGGCTAATGAAGAGACAGAGAACAATTTTGGGGTGATTGGTAGGAAACTTATACTGGTGGATTTAAGGTAATTGTAATTAGCTACAGGATTGATATTGATGGCATAATAATATGCTTGCTAAGAATTTCAGCCCAGTACAATGTGGCAGGAAACAAAAGCCTAATTAAGGTGTTCATTCATAACCCAGTTAAATCATGTATGATGGAGACTGCAATTGCATTCCTTATACACATATTTCAATCACTTAGCTCTGCAATTCCACCAACCAGTGTGTGGAGAAAGCTGGAGCTAGGTAATGGAAAAAATACGGGGTGGGGTGAATTGTGTGTTGGATAGAATATGTGGTGTTCTGATCTCCTTTCACATGAGTATAATCAGGGAGGATTGAATACCTGATTGTTTTTAGTTTCCTTAACAATAGCACGAATATCTGCTTGCTTTCTTTCTTTCTTTCTTTCTTTCTTTCTTTCCTTCTTTCTTTCTTTCTTTCTTTCTTTCTTTCTTTCTTTCTTTCTTTCTTTCTTTCTTTCTTTCCTTCTTTCTTTCCTTCTTTCT